TGTCTATTGAGGAACCGCTGGGGTAGATGTGTTAGCTTTTTGTTTTGCAAAGTAGGGGAATGGGGTGGGATGATGGGGTGACGAACTCGGGAGCAGGGAAGACAGAGCGGTCGACTACTGTGATCTTTGAGTCTTTGAAGGCTGGACGTTGGGTGAGTGCTAGTGCTGTACTCAGACCGAAGACGCCGGAGCCTAGGATTAGGATTTCTTTTGGGGGAGGAAGGTATGTCATTGCTGCTGGCAACTGTATGAAAAGAGGATAGGCAGCTTGATGTTAGTAGGTAAGTATGGAGGGCTAGCTTCAGCCTTCAAGAGTGGAGTGTTGAAGTAGAATATGAAGTTTGGAAGAATGCTTCAAAGTAGAGAGAGGGTATTTGGAGTAAGGAAAGAAGAGATGCGTATATACGTATATATATATCCACGTAGAAATAGAAACTCATAAGAAAAGAATGACTGGACGTTACCATGTACGGAATGCTTCATAGTGGGGTGAATAGTGACCCTGAGTGGGGATGGGCCCATATTGTAGTTGAAAGGCGCGCTTGTTGCAGCTTAAATTTACAAGTCATTGATGACAGGGTTTTGACGCGGAATTCAACCGCGAAGCTTCAGCCTCATCCAACCTCAAAACACAAACACGACATATTCTGCACGACTACGCCTACGTCTACCCTCCCTACCGTTCTTCCGTTCCAATTAAAACAAGCAAGCAACCAAGATAATGTAACAGAATGGCGACCGATAAGAAGAAAGTCCACGGATTCCCCGATGTAGAAAACAAATTACACGCCCCATCCAAGAAATCCCTTTTCGAGCGACAGAAAGCAGAAGCAGAAGCGAAACGTTTACGGGAAGCAGCAGAAACGAGAGCTGTGTATGAGGATTTTGTAAAGAGCTTTGATGATGAGGATGACGTTCCTGTTGGGGGAGGGTTTGGTAGTGGTGGGATGACTGGGCCTCCGAAACGGCATTATAGCTCACAGGGTGCTGTGTCGGGTGCTGGGAGGGGATATACCAGTGGTAGAGGCAGTGGACCAGGAAGTTTAGGACCGCCATTGCAGACTCTAGGGAGGAAGAGAGGGTTTGAGGAGCCGCCAAGGAGGGAGAAGGGTGTACTTGCGTTTGATGATTATGAGGAGCCTGAACGTGAGAGGAAGGTGTTTCGACATAGCGACGATGAGGATGAGAGCCGTGGGGTTACTGAACGAGAAGTTCCCAAACCTACATTACGACTTGCCGCCTTGCCTCCTGGAACTTCACCTGCTGTCATTAAAGCCCTACTCCCGCCGAATCTGACGGTTGATGCAGTTCGGATCTTGCCTCCCAGTGGACCGGGCACGTATGCGGAGCGGAAAAGCATGTCTGCTATTGTGACGCTGGCAAAAGATACAGCGGCCAATGATATCGATGCTGCGGTTAATGGGCTGCAGAACAGGTATCTGGGCTTTGGTTATTATCTCAATTTGCATAGACATTTGTCTTCGGCTGCTATTTCCAGCTCGGCTCCTATACCGGTTTTGGGAAGTTCTACGGCTTCTCAACCTTTTGGTGCGAAGCCTGTTGTAGTTGCGCCTGCGGGAAGAGGACACGCGCCACCTCCGCATCAGAGGGGTGGGTTTGCACCGCCGAGTTCTTATGGGCCTACCGCAGGGGCACAGATGGGGCGAGGTGGACCTTTGTTACATGTTCCTGTTCAGGCGCCGAGGGATGTCAAAGAGTTGAAGCTTATTCATAAGACTATCGAATCGTTACTCGGTCATGGTCCGGAGTTTGAGGCGTTGCTAATGAGTAGACCTGAGGTTCAGAGAGAGGAAAAATGGGCTTGGCTTTGGGATCCGAGGAGTACCGGTGGTGTTTGGTACAGATGGCGATTATGGGAGGTTCTTACTGGATCGACTACGAAGAGGGGTCAGGGAAAGTATTTACCACTGTTTGAAGGATCTTCGGCGTGGAAGGCACCTGATCAACCGTTGGCTTTCGAATATACTACCAAAATGGATGAGTTTGTTTCAGATTCCGAATACAACTCCTCGGATCAAGACGACTCTGGAGATGAAGGCGTTCGAAGACAGCATCAAAGCGGAGGCCCACCTGATGCGAGTGCTATATTGGACGACGGAAAAGCCTACCTGAACCCCCTCGAAAAGGCAAAGCTAGCCCATCTCCTCTCCCGGCTGCCTACTAGCACAGGTAAATTACGAAAAGGTGACGTAGCACGTGTCACTGCATTTGCAATCTCTCACGCAGGACGAGGAGCAGACGAAGTAGTCTCCATGATCGTCTCCAACATCGAAAAGCCCTTCGCCTACACATCAGCCAATCCAGACCGCAAGAAAGAAAAGGACGGCAGCGAAAATGATGGCGAAGACGAAGAGACATCCGACACCAGCTCCGCAAGCCTAATAGGCATCTACATCATCTCCGACATTCTCTCTTCATCCTCCACCAGCGGCGTTCGACACGCCTGGCGCTACCGCCAACTCTTCGAAGCTGCCCTGCGGCAACGCCACGTCTTTGAGGGCTTGGGGCGAATGGAGACGAAAATGAAATGGGGACGCCTTAGAGCTGAGAAATGGAAGAGGAGTGTGGGGAATATTATTAGTTTGTGGGAAAGCTGGTGTGTTTTCCCGCAGGCAAGCCAGGAGCATTTTGCAACCGTTTTCAGCAATCCACCTTTGACTGCTAGAGAAGTCGAAGAGGCGAAGAGGAAGGAGGATGAGGAAAAGACAGCGAGGGGGAAAAATAGATGGAAGGCTGTTGAAGATGCTGCTAAAGAAGCGACTGAGCAGGAACATGCGGATGGAGAGCCGATGGAGGAGGATGTTGATGGGGAACCGATGGATGAAGAGGATGTGGATGGTGAGCCGATGGAGGAAGACGATGTTGATGGTGAACCAATGGAGGAGCATCTAGATGGGGAGCCGATGGAAGAAGACGTGCCTGCACCTGTGCCACCTCCGGTGGAGAGCAAGCCGGATACAGTACCTGTGGGAGGCCCGCGTAGGAGACCGCGAGCTGTGGATATGTTTGCCGATTCGGACGATGATGATAATTAAAAGCAGACAGAAATGCAGGCAAAATATACCCTTTAGATGATCTGAGGGGCAGTCAAATACCAGCGTATCCAAGTGGTAGTATCACATTCGGCTCAGGCCCTTTTAAAAACTCACAAGTAATGTACAATACACAGCTATCGTATTCGCGACGGAACGAGCAAAGTGTGGCTCTCAGATACTTTTATCAACAGCTACAGTACCAGAAAGTGAAAGCGACGGTAAGGGGTAAGCGAGGCTAGCCAGATTTTGAATATTCTCTAATTCAAAATGGGAAGGGTTAAGGTTTGGGTTTTGGCAGTGGGGAAATAGACTTTACTAAGGAGCTGGTGGGAAGGGGAATTCATTTAGTGGTTCCTTACCTTGTGTGAGGTAAGCAAGGGGTACTATGTCTGTCTAACCTATGATGGTTTCGGGAAAGCTCGCTCGCTCTTTCGCTCGATAGATGGATGTATCCGGTCTGTCCAGTCCAGTTCAGTTTATATTATATTCAGACGCTTTCTTGCAAACCGTCGAGAGGTATTAACACACGTACGTTCCTTGACTTTTATACTTTTTTGTTCTTTTCATCTTCTCATTTTGCATCTTGGCTATAGAGAAAATACGAAGAAAAGATCATATCGTCGACGAGTTGCTTCCTTACTTTCTACTTGGATCGGAATCATTGGATCAGACATCTCTGTCAATCAGAGCAAGAGTAACTGACAAAGTATACATACATACGAAAGTAAGATTTGATATCACTCACACTCACACTCACACTCCCTCAAACCTCCCACTCACAGGCCAACCAACTGACAGCAAATTAAAGAAAAGACGTCAAAATGGACTACTCACATGAATTCAACCTCACAGCATTCTTCAAAGAAATCCCCAACCCAGCCACACCTCCCAGTATACGGATCCTCGACATCCTCATCATATTTTGCGGCTCGGTCGTTCTGGGTTGCTTGGTATGGGTCACCACGGTGGAATTCATGGGGTATTTGCAGAGGAGAAAGGCGTTGGCGGGACGTGGGGATGGGGACTGTGAGGTGGGCGCTCCCGGGGGGGATGGGAAGAGGGGAAGGGAGGGGGTGGGAAGTGAACTTTGCTTGTTGCCGCCGGCGCATAAGTAGTATTTTCAAATTAAAGGCTGCCTGCTTGGTTTGAGATATTGGACTGGGTGCGACTATTACTTGCTAGTAATCTTATATCTTTGCGCAACGATGATTGATTGATGACTTTCTATGATGTGATTAATCGTGAGTGAGTGAGTGATGAGTGAGATAGACTGGGAAGAATAGTAGTGGCGGCCCATCTGAAATGTGAAAATGGAAGGTGCGAGTCCGACCCAGCGTTAGAAGCGGCTGCTTAGATGATTGAATCCTTGATTCCCATCAAAACACCAGAGAGGAAAATTCGAAATAGCTTTGACATATTTCAATCAGTGGTTGAGATTATTTGGACGGCAAGACTAAAAGACGCCAGGCTTTCTTGGGGCTTGGAGGCATAATGAGTTGGCTCGGGAGGTGGGGCGAGGTACGATGGAAGAGGAGTTGGGAGGGAAGAGTTTGGGTGGGGATGAGGACAAACACCACGACTTTAGTGGCCGCTTTATGTTCGAGTTCTGTTATTAACTCCTGTGATGTTTTACGGCCGTCTCCCCGAATCAGAAGAAGCCCCCGGTGGATAGGAAGAAAAAGCGGCGTGTGATTTCCAATGTGCCAGGTAGCGTGGGACACTATTAACAGTCGATGAGAGGAAGTGCCGTTCTTGTGTCCAGCATAAGGAAGCATAATAAAGCGTCTAGGGGCTCATGATTAACAGTCATTTTGTGGGTTAGGCCGTAAAACACTAGAGGGATTAAGTAGGGAACTTTGGAAGGTGAGGCAATGTTAAAAGAGAATTTACCCGAATGCATTCAGCTCGTAGTAACACCGCTAAAACCCCCAAATCATTAGACAAATCTGCTAATTGAAATTTGAAAGTGCGTTCGACCAGCTATGAGAATTCAGGAAGCCACTATACCATCCGGACTTTGACAGATCCCCCAGAGATGTCATTTCTCGGGACTTAACAATATGACAGCAGAGGTAGCTTCACTAGAGAAATCTTCAACTTTCAAGTGCCAAACTGCATCAATTGAGCACTTGCCCTCATTTTCCCTACTAAGATTTGTCTACTCGAGGTTTTTCTTTCTTCGAAACACGGTAGACGTATATCGAGAATACTTAACGTACATACGTACACAACGTCGAAATCATAGACAAAGGTAAGTGTATAACTGGGAAACAAATTAAAGTTGCTTATTAACGTCTACCATGGATTCATGGAAAGAGAATATGCTCATAGCTTTTTGTATCGGTTTAAACATGCTCGTCATCTTGGATGTGTACCGGGCTTGCTGTCTCATTTCAAGCTTGGTCGTCCACGAGTCTTTTTACTGTGCTGGCTGTGTTGTTTTCTGCTTGGTTGCCCTCGAGCCTTTTCACTTGCCAAAGGAAACAGCTACTCAGAATACGAAATTGATGGAGGACAAGCAAAAATCAGCACACTTAAACGCCAAGCCAGTGCACACTCTGACCAAGCAAAAGGCCGAGAGAGAGGCCGAAAGGGTCGCACAGAAGAACGAGATGGTACAAATGCTCCGTCGACAGCTTGAAGTACGAAAGCAGCAGGAAATGGCTCGAAAGAAAGCAGCCATGGAAGCAGGATGGCCAATTCAGGATACCGACACGTTCGAGGGCTACGGGCTTGCAGAAGACATCCAACCTTTCGTTGAGCAAGTTCGACTCGTCAAGAGATTTCGCAATGCGAACAGAGATGTAGTGAAGACGAAGGAGGAAGGCAATGCTGCGCGGGAAAGTGCCGAGGATTGGGATATCGTTGAGGCTGAGATTGCGGAATCGTAGGAGGATGAATGATGGAAATAAGTACCCCCACTGTATCATACGGAGGTAGAAGGAAGCATAGTCACAAAAAGGGATGGATTCTCGAGAGAAAAGAATTGTGCCATTTTGCTGTCATGTAGGGAGAAGGAAATCACTAGACCAAAGGGTGAAAATTACGAATCAATTAATTAACAGTCGGAATTAAGCCTTGACTTCAAAGTATGCTTCAGAGTATACCTGACCAGTCTTCCTCTTTAACATAGTCTTCCCGTGACTTGATTTTATAGCTGCTCGGAATGATCTGCTTGTGTTTAGCTGACATCTGTAGGGCTTGCAAGGATTGGACTTACGTCTCGAGCCGAGACAAGATCCTTGATATCCCCAAAAGTCTTCTCTCCATAGTAAAGGTTCTCGCAAAGCTCTGTCACGGCGACTTCCAAATGATCTGGCATGTCTGCGGACATTGTCTTCTGATGCTCTTGCGCGGAAACTTGTTCGAAGATGGCCTTTATTCCCAGATCTGCAGAGCATAAGCATTCCAATGGTTTACGAAATATGGGAGATGAGGGAATCATACGATTTGTCCATAATGCAAGCATGTCCTCTTGTGGTGATAACTCCGACGCGAGAGTTACGGTTCTGCCGTAGTATTCTGTCCTTGCCCTCAGTATACTGTTTACAACAACCCCTGTATCATCCGCCGACGTAGAGGGAACTCAGGTCGATGGGGATATGGCATAGAAAGCACAAAAGTACCGTTTTCATCCTGCACGACGTCACACTTCAGCCTATAATAAAATATTTGACCCCGGAGTATCTTCATACCTTCAATGGTCCAAACACAGCCTGATATTTAAGCTAATTTTGATAGTAGAAAGCAACGAATATCTCAGTCGTGATAGCTGCTAGAGCCGGGTATGTGTAGAGATCCTCTCTGATAGCAGCTTTCGCGTTGTAAGGGACAATGTTCTGAAACTTCCCAACGGCGCTCTTGCGGCCATCCGGTAAGCATCATGATAAAGGTGAGGCTGAGGTATTCATAGAAAGTTTTGACGGTATCTTAGAGTATAATGGTATTGAATGCACAGATATGGAGACTTGAAAGCAATGTAATAGGCTTAGTGTAGGAAGAACGTTGGAGTTTCAAGCTCGCAAGGAGGCTGCAAGTTGACCTCTGCACCAGGCTAAAATGAGCCCCTCCTAGATTGGCCATGGTATTCTTCAATGACAAGCAAAGAAAGGGCAGAGGTGTAAAAGCTGCTTTTGCGGGTCTTGGATGTATGTAGAGGTGTAATGTAATGCGCGCCCGCAGACGGACTGCAAGTGTGCAATGCTATACACACCGGGTTCACGCAAGCAGGAAAGGAAAAGGAACAGCTGTCTGTGCATAGAGACGCTTTGATTTCTTATACCTGTGGTTCACTTCCAATTGAATGGATGTTGTCTATGATTGAATGCACAATAAATACAGTACACATAGATGGAAGGGAGTCAAACTCAATCTAACTACCAAGTAACCTCGGGAGTGAAAAACAACTTGGCGTTCTTGCCTGGCAGCCTGATCAGGCCGCCTCCCCGCTTCAACTGTGTAGCTGTTCACTACCCAACACTACTCTACATCTTATTGACAACCCCCACCCCACACTCGATGTTTGCGCCCGTCAAAGACTCTTAACTTAAACCCACTCCAATTTAATCTATCTTTTACCTCTGTCGGGAGTCAAACTCCGAGCGAGACTATACTCGCTATTGTAGAATACTTTCCTCCCTCACCGCACCGCATTACCGCATTACCGCATTAGCCTCCGAGTCCTCTCGACCGCAGGCAGACTCGAACAAGCAAGATGATACAAGGAGCCCACGTATTCTCGCATCAGCACCAGTACAATCCTCAAGGGGAACCATCATGGATGCATCAGCACCAGCAGAGCCAGCATCAGCACGCCCAACACGCTGCCGCTGCCGCTGCCGCCGCAACTGCTGCCCAGCAGCAGCATTACAATCGCATCGCTGCTAACCACAACACTGGTGGACCAATGGCAGTGGCATCTCACGGACAGGATGCTGCTTTGTTGGAAACCGTTACCGAGGAAAACCGGCGAACTCTGGCTTTCATCGCCGACCTGTTGAGCGAGGATACTAGAGAAGCAGCTCTTTTGGAGCTTAGCAAGAAGCGCGAACAAGTTCCGGAGCTGGCACTGATCTTATGGCACTCTTTTGGTTTGTTGATGACGTCGAGTACGAATCGGGAGGGAGAGTTGCTAATAATCATCAGGTGTCATGACTTCACTCCTCCAAGAGATTATCTCGGTATACACGCTCCTTAATCCTTCGCAACTCACAGCTGCGGCCTCAAACCGTGTCTGCAATGCTCTGGCGCTTCTTCAGTGTGTGGCTTCCCACAATGAAACTCGAGGCCTGTTCCTGAATGGTATATATAGCTCAAACTCCGAAGAACCTCTTGCTGATTAGTGATAGCGCACATTCCCCTCTTCCTCTACCCCTTCCTCAATACTACATCGAAATCAAGGCCGTTTGAATACCTGCGATTGACCTCTCTTGGTGTCATTGGGGCGCTTGTTAAAAACGATTCATCCGATGTTATCAATTTTCTCCTTACAACCGAGATTATCCCACTGTGCCTACGAATCATGGAAACTGGTTCTGAGCTTAGCAAAACCGTAGCAATATTCATCGTGCAGAAGATTCTTCTCGATGACCATGGGCTGAACTACATCTGCGCTACATATGAGCGCTTCTACGCGGTGGGGACAGTTCTCAGCAACATGGTTTCGCAGCTTGTTGAGCAGCAGACTGCCAGGTTACTCAAGCATGTCGTGCGGTGCTTCCTACGGTCAGACACACTACAGCTCCTTCTCTATACAACCACTGATGATAGATGCAGACTTAGTGATAATGCACGGGCTCGTGAAGCCCTTCGACAATGCCTCCCCGAACCTCTCCGAGACGCCACGTTTTCCTCAGTCCTCCGAGACGACGCTGCCACGAAGCGCTGCCTTACTCAACTATTAATGAACCTCTCGGACAATGTGCTCGAATCTTCCGGCAACCATCAAGGCATATAATTCAAACTTCCTCTCTTTGTATCATAAACCACCGACACATTCCCACGCATATGGGATATTTCATCTTCGATAGACATAGCGATACCCAGTCTTTATTTCTTCAATGTAATCAGCCTTACTCGCTGGTCTACAAAGGGTTTACAAAAGCATTTGCGGCGCGAGTACGGCTCTGCTTTGGGTGGGTTATTGGCGGCATGGTGTTTCGTCGCAAGGCGTACTTTTTTGCATTAGTACACTTTGCACGAGAACATGGATATATTTTTGCTCCTATGCGGGCTCATTTCTTCTTCTATCTGGTGTCTTTGGCTTGGTCTCTTGCATTTCGGGTGGAGTTTAAAGGTTTCGGATGGTGCATGATGGGTTGTACCTGCGATTGCAGCAGATCAAACTTTGTAAATTAGAATTCTTCAGGAATAGAAGAGATGGATGGATCGATGGCTGGCTCTGCTGAACTTATGATGATGGCGAGATGGAGTGAACCTAGACTCCCAACGGTGTCTAACCCTGTGAGAAATGCTGAAGGCTATAACAGCTGACAAAGGGAGATTACGGGTGTAGCTTTCTTTCTAAGCAGCAGCGACCTTAAGGCGATTTGTCACAAAGCTGCAGCCTGCGGTTATCAAAAGCATCAATACCCTATTACCCGGATCATAGAGAATCCTAAATTTAATTTCAAAGCCTCAACAAGTTTTACTTCTGGCTGTTACCTAAGACGGCAAGTGAGATGGCCAAACAAGCGACTCGGAAGCTGTCAAGAGCCCATTTATAATCGGCATACATGTAGACAGGATTTTTGATATCACGAGTCGTTGATGTGTTGAAGTGTCCGTGTCGGGGATGATTAATCAGATTTGATAATTAAGCTTTCTCTCCAGGACAGGGTACAGTACTGTAGGACCAGGATTTTGCTCCCCGCGATAACTAATCGCGAAAAGTGCTTGGCGAGGCTACTGTACTGTACGCCCGTACATCCCCTCAAACACTTAATTAACACTGTAAGACAAGGCGTGCTGCACTGCTTGTACCTTACCATACCTAGGTATGTATACAGGAGTCTAGGACACATGGAATTTCTTGCGAGTGCTTACTAATGGCCAATTACCTAAGCATTTGTGAGTTTACCACCAGTACTTCTTAGGCCTATCTCACGTTCTTACCATCCTTGAATCCTTCACGTGTTACAAAGACCCCCGGCTTCTTATAAGGCCCCGCCCCGTCACCTCGAGCCCCAAACCAACCTGTCATGGTGATGGACAGCAGCTTGTACAAATATCCTCAGGATGACCATGCTTTGACTATTCTCACCCAAGCTGCTATGCATACACGTGCCACAAACCCCTCCTCTTCTTCCAACCCCACTTCTTTGTCAACAGCCAATCTCCAAACCTCCTCAATGCCGACCACCGAGATCACTAATCATCACACTCACCCCCAGTCTCGTACTCCAGGAACGAATTATGATCATCTTGGCTTGCTTTCTTCAACCGCAAGAATGGAGACACTTGCGTTTAACGCCAACCACGCCTCAAGGCACAACCCATATATGGACACCGCCTTCCGGGGAATCGGCAGTGAGATCTCCAGGAACTATGCGAATAACATGGGGATCTTGAATGCGGAATCATATCCCGACATTCTTTCAACTAGAGGATATGATGAGAGAAAGAAAGGTTCTGAACCTGCGCTTTCGTTTGGTATGATCCCGAGACCCCACGGGGATCTTGACTCGAGGGAAGATGAGGAAGAGCCGGATATGGGGACTAGACGGAGGAAGAAGCCGAGGATCGAAGTTCATAGCGGAGATGATGAGGAGGCGAAAAAGTCAAGAGGGAGGCCCAGAGTTGATACGAAGGATGAGACTGCAGCTGATGTAAGTGAGATCTACTCATGTCACCTTTGGGTCATCACTGACTGTTTATAGCGTCGAAGGACTCAAATACGTATGGCTCAAAGGGCCTACCGCCATCGTAAGGAGACTACAATCTCTTCGTTAGAGAAGCAGGTTCAAGAGCTTAGAGGAACGAATGAGGAAATGAGCAACCATTTCATCTCGCTCTACGATTTTGCTGTGGGCAAGGGACTGCTGCAACGGGAACCAGAATTCGGCCAGCAGTTGCAATCAACCACTGAAAGGTTTCTGGCCCTGGCAAAAGCTAGCTCCGAGGACCTTCTAATGGAAGACAACCATGTCGAGGAATCCGAAAAACACGAAGAACCAGAAAGCAGCCGGCCCAAGAAGAAGGGCAGAAAATCATCTCCAAAAACTCGACAAGAGAAGAAAGCTGCGACTCCTGAAAGTAAAAGTCCAGTATGGGGCGACTTTCCGCTTGGCAACCACGCTCAAACTGCCGTGGAAGAGATCCAAATGGAATATCAACCTCAAAATTACGAAAGCCGGAGTCGCCAGCAGGATCTCCAGGTCATCACTCGTCCTACAGAAGACAATGCGAGCTTTCCATGGGACTTTATGGATTTGCAACAATATAATGTAAACCTCCCATCAACGGAAGACTTCTCTCAAGTTTTCCTCCCGGAATCTCAGCTACCACTTCCCGACACACATTCCTACACGGAGAACACTTTTGCCCGCCGGCTTCAACGTGGAGCTTTAGAGGCAGCATGGCAACTTGTTACCAACCCCAGCCCACCCCCCGGGGTCTTTGAAAGGGTATTTGGATTTTGTTTAACGTATGAAAGTAGAGAATCTATAATCGATCGGACGAAGGGACAGATCCGAAGCTCGTCAAAGGATTCCCTCCAAAACTGGCGGGCGCCCTTTGTTAACGTAGGCCGTGCAGGCACTTTCTATCCATTGCGTGATGGAAGTGATGAACTCATGCCTAAACTTCGTACTGGCTATTCTATGGGTCCATTCACGGAAGCGATCGCCCAAACACAAGATGAGTTCTTGGATGAAAGCATGCGGTGTAATATCCCGGGATTTGAAGGAGACTTTTTCGATGCGAACGATGTCGAAGGTTATCTTCGGGGCCGAGGGCTCGACATTCCTTCTTCGGCAAACTTAGTCACTGCACATCTCGATTTGTCCTTCGTCGAAGTCAGTCCGAAAGGTACTAGTGGCAGCACTGTCTCAACCATCTCGCCACGAACCCCTAGAAGTCCCCTTGCGGATCTACTCACCAAGTCTAATGGATTGTCAAATACCTACAAACTTGACGTCAATGCCTTGCCTTTCCCACTAGGATTTGCTAGCTGGGATGACGATATTCCCGGAAAAAATGCCAGTAACATCGATCCCATATTCTATACCACGACAGGACAAAACTTAGGAAGGGCTTCCCCTGACTTTGCCGGTAGCGGCAGTCTTCCAGGAGAAAGGCGAACCGTCACTTTTGATGTTCAGACGCTACTGTCAGGTAAGCTTAAGTCCAATAATAAATCAGCTTCACGCCAGATGGGAACTTGAAACACTAACCAATTGAACAGAAATCATAAAGCGTGCAGTTTGTTTAGGTCGTACGCCTGGGTTCAGACCGTCTGATGTTAATGCGGCTTTAGTAGCAGCGACTAATTCTGGATTTTAAAGAGCCTCCTAATCGTGGGCAAGCGCCCGCAATGGTGCGCGCTACATCCATATGACAGCTGGAGTGGAACACTAAGAATAGTTAACCACGGTTTTTCGGATGTGGTTATGATGTAGTCAGGAACCGTGGTTCACTGAGCAGCTATTATAAGTCTGGATCAGGAAAATCCCACACAATTTCAAAAATATTCTACACCAGCTTTTTCTGCACTTTCTCTACGAGCTCGAGTTAATTTCCTGGCATCAAAATTCACCATCCTTGTAAGTCTTTATCATTAGAGAGTTAAGATATTCTCAAAAATAGCGACTTACATCCCCGGAATCGTCAGCAGCTTCTTCTGACGACGCAGACCCAACCACGATGGAGTCAGATTTGAGTGGGATTTTCCCAGGTTTGACGGAACAACAACGCCTTAACCCAGAACCACGAAAGTCGAGGTTTATTGAGCATTTTGATCAAGACACCAACACAGAACATGTTCTCTATGTCATCTCAGAGGAGCAAGAGTCAATCCATTCATCGAGCATCCCGACCTCCAAACCAACCAGTTGGATCCGCAGCAAGTGCGGGAAACTCTTACCCAAGAAAAGCCTTGCACCCACCAAAGAAGCACCAAAGGCCTGTGACAGCACCAACAAGAACGGACACGACAACTCTCAAGCAAAACCCGGAAAGTCTTTCAGCGACAAGATTTCCTTGGCCAAAACCAAGATCCGACAAATCGTCAGCCCTCTTACAAGGCGTCAGCAACCATACATGACAGTCACGATATGTGGTGATGATCTCACCTTGTACCGTCTCCCACGCCAAACCACCATCCCCTCCGCCGAAAGAATTCACTACCTCCGACGTGTTCAAATGGAAGCTGCTCTCAAGGACCTAGCGGTCCAGGACGCTAATGTCGATGCAGGGAAAACGACGACGACAACGACGACCAAAATCGTTAGCGAGATGGTGACAACTCTGGATTCCCAAAGCCCGTCTCGATTGACTTCATCAACAGAGATAGCAAGATGGGTGGAAAGCTTGCCTGTTACAGCTTCTCCAGTGATGCTCAATCAAAGTCCAATTGACCAGCCTCTTGCCGGAATCCCCTCGACGCCAGCGGAAGGGACACAAGAAGTGTCCTGAAAGCAGATGCGCAAGCGCTTGTATGATTTCAGGCAGCGTGGAAGTCTTGAGCTATAGAGATGGACGGATCTGGATATCTGGGAAGGAATTTGATGGTTCAAATTGGATGGGGTTTAAGGAGTAAGGGTAAAGTTGGACTGAGCATATGAACAAGGATGAAGCGAAGGCGTTGGAATTGGAAGGATATTGTGGATTATAATTGGTTGTGATTTGGCGTTACAATGCTGTTTTGAGGTCGGATATCACGGGAACTGAAGCTTACAATGGCTGGAATATCTCATCTCATGGGTCTGGAATTTGGAATTTTGCGAGTACTGGAAAATGTTGGATACACTGGGCTTGTGAACCTCTTAATTGATGATACGAATACAATTAATACTCTTGCTACCTGTACCTTTCGTGACAATCATCTCGCTTGCGCATTACTCGTGTGATGTTCTTTCCGGAGTATGGTACTCGAGTATGGCTTCCCACAACCATAACCCAACGACGGAATCTGACACCGAGACACCTATCAAGCGAACCTTTCCTTTCTCTTAAATCGCCTGGCTTCATCAACCGAAATGAGATGAAAATTCTCAAAAATAATGTATGACCACGTGACTGCTTCGAACCTTGCATAAAATAGTTCACTAGTTCTAAAGCTGGAGCTCCTCGCTCCTCATGCAAGCTCTCTTCTTCACCATGGATCTATGCCAAACAAACAGATGAATGCCAGGCCACTTCCTCCCCCGCAAATCAAGTGCACATCGCATAGCTTGTAAGCTCCCCTACCCTCATTATCTGATCTCCTCCCCCTAACCCTCCAATCCACAGGCATATCGCTATACCGAGCTCTCCTAAAGCAATGCCCCCGAATCCCCCTTCCGGCTGACCTGCCCCCCCGCGGTCCCATAAACCCCATCAAACATTTGATCCGGAAGCAATTCAAGCAGAACGTCTACTTCACCAGCCCCCGCATCGTCGTCAATGCTATTAAGAAAGGCCATGCCGCCGGGCAGCTGCTCCAGAGCGCCGGAGACGGCAACCCAATCGCTCTAAACCAGGTCCA